TCATCATCTCATGTTCCAGTGAACATAACATGCTCAATTCTACATCATTTTTCATGAAATTTTGTGCAAATTAAAGCTAACATTTCATACTTCAACATGCAATTCGAATCATATAAAATAATTAACCATGGATCAAGAACAGATCGTGCAAAAATGTCAAAAACTCACTGAACAGAAAAAATTCAGATGCATCATTCATGCATATCTCATCAAATTAAAAGCTCTAAAGCTACAAAAACACTTAATGAACTTCAAACAACATGATTATGAACTTAAATCACACAATGCACGACTAGAAATCTAGATCCAAAGTTAAGAATTCAAACCTTTGAGGCAAAAACGGATCTACGGTCTCCTTCACTCCAGTTGCAAACCAAGCCTCGATCTACAATCCTTATCACTTGGAGAAGAGAATGCAAGAAATATCAACCAAAACGCGCAAGGGAATTGGAAGAATCGAAGAAAATTGCAGAGCAAGTAGCTATGGAGTTTTCTGATTTCATGGATGAAATGAAGCACGAACCCTGTTCAATGAGGCTTGCTTCTCAATATATAGGGCACGAAGAGGAGGGTAGGATAGGTTTTTCATGCTGAAAACTGTTAGAAAGAATGAAATCTTCTTTTTTCCAAAATTAAGTGTGCACATGCAGCCCTCAAATCCCTCATGCGTTTGCTTGCATTTTACGTGCATTTCAGTCCATTTTATCTCAGGAATAGATTAGCAAAAGAATTAAGACTTAAATCCTTGTGTTAAGCAAGTGTTGGTGATTAGGCATTTTCATGCCACTTTTTGCAAAATCACGAGTTGCCCTTGCATTTGCCCATGTGCAGCTCAAACTTTGGCATGATGACCCTTGGTACATTGCATATTAGTCATGGGGCAAGTTTGAAGTGAAAGAAAAGGCCACAAATCAAGTTATCAAGAATTTGCAATTTGCATGGTATGCATGAATTCAATGAAATGCCTCAAAATTCCAAGGTCCACAAGATGCTTATACTTTTGAATTTTGATAAAAATGAGTACAATTTGGAAAGGTATTGAAAAGATATACAATCCCTTAGTTTTGAGTTTTTGTAATTCTGTCCATTAAGTTTCTCAAAATTGAGCTTGAAATTCACTAATTTTGGAAAATGACCTATAATTTTGTGACTTCAAAAGACCATAATTCTTGATTCTTTGCCAATTTGGACATGAGACCAAAAGGAGATGAAAGATCATCCTCTTATCTTTCCAAGCATACTTCATTTGCATTTTCTTGATCAAAGGTGAATAAAATATGAATTTTTGAAATTAAGTCTTTATTTTCCAAAATTAGAAACTTTTAGGGTTTCTTCAAGAACAAGTTTCAACCCAAACCTCAATCTCTTTGATCCAATGACCAAAATGGACTTGAAATATGCAAAGTGCATCCTTGAATTGATGGTTGGCCAAAAGTTCACTTGGTCAACCTTGACTTTGACTGATTTTGACCAAAATGACCATTTTGCCCCTTTGAATCAATTGATCCACTTCCCTTCAAAATTGATGATCAAAACTTCAAACATATGATCTTCCAAATATATAGAGGCCATGTACAAAGTTTTACTTCAAAATTATCAAGAAATCCTGATAAAAACCCAAACCCTAATTTTGATTAACACCTTAGGAGACTGATGAATCATCTTCAAAACTTAAAATCCTCTGGGCATCATGATCAATTCCTTGTGCAAAGACTTTTCAAATGCCAATGAGATGTTGTGTCTTCCAAATCAAGACTTGTACATTGATCAATAGCCTTGCTCATACAAAACCCTAATTTGACTGGTGAATCAAAAGATTGACTCTTCTTATAATCAAACACAAACTTCAATCCTATGATGATCCAAAGAGATAGATAGAATATCTTGAGTTATGTAACAACTTTAGCTTGAAAGACCCAGAGGTTTAGATGATAAGGCTCTACTCGAGCAACTTGTCAATGCAATCAACCTTCAAAGCTTGAGGAAAACTTGATAACCAAAGTACTTTGATCCTATCACAATGTATGAATGCAATGCAATATGATGTTCATAATGAAACATAAGCCTAAATCAAGAGGGTAAATTATGGGGTGCAACACCGGGTAGCAGTATCTTCATCGAAGGTGACCATAAGCTCCACGTACCCCCATGGCTTGGAGGTCCATCCATTAAAGCCCTGCAAGTCTGATTCCACGTATGGTGAAAGGTGAGAGTTGTCGAGATGCAGAGTTCTGAAAAGTTGGTTGTACATCACATCAACGGAACTTCCCTCGTCGACCAGGACGTGATGTACTTCGAAGTTGGAAATTCTCTCCCTGATCATAAGAGGGATGGCTGAATTGGGGGCCCCTACGATAAATTCCTCGAGGTAAAAGGTGATCGGCTATGATCTTCATTTAACCCTCTCGAAGGTCACCGTTTGCGGGGGAGCCACGTCGACCATCTCGCCGAGATTACTCTTTGCTGAATTTATAATCAAGTCATTAAACCCCCACTATTTATGACCATAATAGAGGGGAAGGTTTCCCACCGGCTGTGCATAGACAGAGGCTCTTGCAAATGTTCGGGGATGTAAAAGTCCTCCGGTTTTGTAATGGAGAATGCAGTTTGGATGGGGACCGACTCGTCAAACGGTCGGGCATCCTCCTCTATCTCCCTTGTTTCACGGGCATCTCGACGGGGGGCGTCGCCCCATTGATATTGCCCGAGTCTCCCCCCTTTTATGAGGGACTTAATAGTATCCTTGAGATGCATAGAATCTTTAGTCAAGTGCCCATGGCTCCGGTGATACTGGCAGTATTTGCTTCGATATTCCCCGGGCTTAGCAGGAGTGAGGCGAGGACGCTTGACGCCTCCGTCCTTGAAATCTATATTCGTGCACTCCACAAAGATGCGCTCGCGGGAAGCCGTCATCGGAGTGTACTCAATAAACCTCCCCGAGGGTCCTCTTTGTTCCCGAGGGTCTCGGGGTTTGTCGTCCCTTCTATTCTCGCCAGTTCATCGAGGAGGGGCAGTGTCTTGTCGCGGATGACTGGTAAACCCGCGATTCCTGGGATCCTGAGCTCTGTTAACCGCTTCCCTCTCCTCGTAGTCCATGTAGGCTTTGGCTTTCTCGAGGAGGGCATCGAATATCCGGGGCAGTTCGATGCCTACGACCTTTCTGAATTCCATGCCCGAGAGGAGTCCCCTCTCGAGCAGGTATCTCTTCATGTGATTGGTACAGGGGACCTGGATGGCCTCCCGATTATACCAGTCAATAAATTCCCTCAGGGTCTCATGGTGTCTTTGGACGATGGCCTCGAGGGCTGATTTGGTCTTTGGGTGGCGTTGCGAAGCAGTGAATGAATTGATGAATTGGTTCTTCAGATTTCGCCATGAGGTAATTGACCACGGGGCGAGACTTTTGTACCAGTCCATCACAACTTTCCTCAGAGTCATGGGGAACAACCGGAATTTGATTGGTCCCCCGACATTGTGATAATGTAGCATGGCCTCAAACCCGTCTATATGGTCGACCGGGTCGGCGACGCTGTTGTATTACTTTAGGTGGGGAGGCTTCTCCATGCCCGGGGGAATGGGTGCCTCCATGATGGCTTGTGACAACGGACCGCGGGGGTCGTCCTCGTCACTCCGTTCAGGCGAGCGAGACATGGATCTGACGTAGTGGCAGTTATGGTGGCCCTGGTCGCGCGGAGCGTTCTTCGGGCGGTATGGTTGCTCATTGTTTCCCCCGTTTCTGTCTTCAGGGGGTCTTCGTTCTTGGCTCGAGGGGCCGTGATTGCGGCCTTCCGTATCAACGGGCTGGTCCCTTTCTAATGCGGGGCATCGTTGGATTTGTCAGGGAGAAGGGCTTCGAGAGATATCTCGACTACGTTTCTGCGGGGGAGATTAGGCATGTTCCTCTGCTTGCCGAGGAGGAGGAGACTGAGGTCTCATGTGTCTTCTGGGGGCTCTCCGAGCATCTTCGAGCACCCTCAATCTTTCTCCTTGAGTGAAGATCAAGTAGTTGGTCTGATTTATCGCTGCAAATAGTTCCCTGGTCATGGCGTCTGCTTTGGCGGAAACGGGGACCTCATGGAACTGAACGGGTTTGTAGTTATGGGGAGGTGGTCGATCATCTTTGAGTCGTGGAGGAAGTGATGATGACGAAGCAGTTGCTCCGTCTCTATAGTCAGAAGGCCTGGGCATATTAATGGCGGGGGTTCTATTGTGGCCAACGGTATCGGCGTTGTCGAGGCCGACATTATTATCTGTGATGTTGTTGTTGACGTTGGTGATACGGACGTTCATGTTTTTTGCAGTCTGGTCAGCCATGACAGTCGAGGATTGTTTAGTTTTGGTCTCGAGTAAATGTAAGACGGGGAAGCAAGTTTCCCACAGACGGCTCCATTGATCTTATCGAAACAGAAATGGACCGTCACATCTAGCTCGGGCAGAAGTGGAATGAGATGGGGGGAGGGAGTACCTGCAAGACACTTTGATGGCAAAGTAAGTTGCAGATTGATCAAGAAAGTGTTAAGAGTTAAAGGTGTTGAATTGAATACCTGACCCTCTTAGGAGAGAGGGTATTTATAGCCCCCAACGCTGGGCCAAGGTTCCCATTATTGGGCCATGTTGAGGCCCAATAATAAGAACTGCCAGAGCTTACGTATGTATGGAGTCCAGCAAGTGGACTCCCTCCTGGTCAACTGCTTCGTGAGAATAGGGTTTGACTCGTGATTCTCTGAGGGCAGTTTAAGATGATTGTCGTGGGATCGTGGGCCATGTCCTCCAACGGTCGTTTGGGGAGTTTCCCAACGGTCCCTAACTTGGGTTGCTTTTGGGTTTCCCATTCGAAGGGCAAGTGTAGGCCCAAGTGAATTTTTTTTTGGAATAACCATGTATTAAATTTTTTTTCGCAAATAACCATGTTTCGGAAAAAAATACGCAAATAACCATGTTTCAGAAGACTCCCCAAAGGAGGAGCCATCTCACTTGGCGCCTCCACTCACAAGTTTGCCCTAGGCGCCATTCCACCAATGAAGAACTACCATTTGAAGTATACCACTTGAAGAACCAAACTCCATACCATTAAGTCGTGTAGTGGTTTTTTTAAAAGCAGTAGTAAAAACCCATCCCATGCCCATTGCTCGAACACGACCATGGTGCTCTTTTTCAAATAGATTTCCAACAACATCATTTAAAGAAATTTCAGAAGAAGCCTCAGGATTTTGATTTAAGTGACTGTCAATTTCAGAAGAAGCCTCAGCTAGTTCGAGGGTCAAAGTCTAGCAATAAGCTAGTGCGCTGATGAAAGTCGATAAGGAAAGTCAACTGGTCACTCCACCAGAGAAGAAGGGTTGTTGAGAAGGTAATCAAGGAGTTCCGTCTTCTACGATGTATGCTATGAAACAGGTTCATACTGGAAGAATGGATGGCGCAGGAGTCTTTCTTTGGACTGATGAACTCTGAAACCTAGATTCTCCCCTTAGGAAATCGCCTGACAGAGAGAGATGCTCTCTCGCTAGAGATAAGAGCGGAGTGAAGCTGCTTTTCCGAAGAGAGAGCGTTAGAGAGTAGATGATACGTTCCAAGGGTGAAGCTAACGCTTCCCTGGCCACTAGGGAGTCATCAAGGTATGAGTCCGCTAGCTAATACTGGATCGTCAAAGACCTTCTTCCATTTCTTAATACCTTATGTCTCTCTCCTAAAGGATCCAATCCTACATAAAATACAAATAAATAATGGTTATCTTTCACTTACTCATAATATAAAAAATTAACATAAACTTAAAACATATAAGGATATATAGATTATCAATTATCCCTTATCTCCTTAGATTTTCATTCACATAGCTCCCCTCTTTCTTTTTATGGATCATGTTCTATATTTGACCCCGACTGATAGTCTTATCCGTCTAAATAATCTACAAAAATAATACACAATATCATTATGTATTTAACTCATGCCTAAGAAAAGAGTTTAGATAAAGATACTATTAAACTTACTAGCTTATGTCTTCTCCTCGCCAAACACTTGGCACCACACGTATGAGAAAAGACTTATTTGTTTCTTATTTGTTGATTTTTCTTACAATGATCCTATAAGTGGAAACAAACTACTTTATATAATTTCACAAAATATTAAGAAAAAATATACTCAATATACAATGCAAAATGAAGTACATACCATCGTCTCTGGTTTGAAACGATAGTGAACAAATAATGCTCAATGGTCCAAATTAACATCCTCGGGTTTATTTTCAATAATTTGACTTTTGCTCACAAGTGGGTCATACTTAGCATTCCAAAGCTTAAGCCTATACTTCTTCCAGTTTTTGCCAATCGAAACCTCAATATATCTTTTAGCTAAATCTTCATGTACCTTGAAACAAAATCGAGACTTCTAATAACAAGAATATCAGTCACTTGCAATGTCTCATATGAAAATACTATATACATTTGTAAAATTAAAATTAATTTACCTGAAAAAGAATTTTCCTCTGTTTATTAAAATAACCTTCGGGAATACTTGACCATTTTTCAAAACCTATAGGAAAAAAGAGAATGTTTGTTTCTACCAGTCCACATATTCCTGCAAGCAAACCCGCAGCCTCTCCAATAGGTGAGTTATACTTATCAAATTCCATAATAATACGCAAAGCATTTGGCTTGTCATTGACATCCTTACAACTTAAACACAATTTTTGAATTGTACCATGCTCTTTATCTGTACGATATAAAATGTTATTTGACTAAAAGCATATCCGATAAAAACACCACACACAATTAAATTAAAAAATATCAACATATTATACCAATGATATGTAGATATCTGTCCACTTCTACGTTGACGACGCTCAACCTCTTGTTGTACATTAGTTTGAAGACGAGAATTTCCAGCTCCTTGTTGTGAAGGTTGTGAGGATCTTTGATTAGGTAATTGAGATAATACATCATCAACAGTTAGTATAGGAGTAGAAGACATGAGATTTGGTGGAGCAAGTTGAGTAGCAATTGGATCACTGGATACAGATGCAACATATGTGTTCTGGACTGGGCCCGACAGGCCCAATAGCATTGCTAAGGCCCAATCCAAATGGACTTGCTGAGGACCACGCCGACCAAAGGGTCACAGTCGTGCCCGACGTACTCCCTGAGGTCACGTGCTCGACCTCTACATCTCCAGCTCGACATCCTGCTGTCCAACTCGACATCACCTCGAGCACCCCCAACTAGGGAAGACTCAGTCCACTGCACTCCCAACGAGACCCCGAAAAGACCGCGTCTCCGTCCGCCCGCACTTCACGCAGAACATCCAGGAAGGGGACCACGTGCGGGTCCCCACTACGCGCGTAGAACCTGGTAGTTCCTCCATTGGGCCAAACCTGCCCGGCCCAATGAAGGAACCTTGGCCCAGCGTTGGGGGCTATAAATACCCTATGTTTCCAGAGGGTCAGGTATTGATCATTCTACCCATACACTTGCTATTACCTGCTCGTGCTTCTACTTACTTCAACATCGAAGTGTCTTGCAGGTACCCCCCCCCCCCCCCACCTCGTTCAAAAAGCTTTCAGCTTGGAGCCAGCCGTGACGGTCCATTTCTGATCAGGTCCGATCAGTGGCGCCGTCTGTGGGAAACTAGCTTCCCCGTCTTACAAACAACTCAAAAGACCAAAGCTCAAAATTCAACTACCTGTCATGGCTGATCCAGCTCGCGATGAGCAGAACGTCCTTGTCGCCGACACCAATAACGGCACGACGGACAAAAACGGACATCTCGACAACGTCGGCAATCCCGGCCACAACACCGCTCCTGCAACAACCGTCCTCGGAACTTCTTCGCACAGGGACGAAGCCACAACATCATCCTCCTCGCTCCCACCACCACTCGAGGACGACCCGACGACCCTCGCCCACTACAGAGCCGTCCGGTTTCAGGAAGTCCCCGTCCCCCCCGGGGCGGATGCCACCACACAAGCGTTGTTCGCAGCAATTAACCAAACGAACTATCTCATCTTCTCCCAAGGAGAGAGATTAAAGGCGCTTGAAGACGAGCGAAGACCCTCGAGGAGGCATCGGAGACTACATACTCCCCCCCCTCGGGTGACTGAAGTTCGACACCCTTCTCCCCCGCAGAGACACTATAGGGAAAACTCCAGAAGCCCTTCTCCTCGGCCAAAGCAGAGGCGACCATATTTGGAGAGAGATCCCATCATCCCCGCCGGAGAACCCAGTCGCGACCCGGCGAGGCACGACAAGAGACACGTCGGGGATGGGCGTGTAACATTCAACCAACGAGCATCACGCTCGAGGGAGACTCAGCACGACCACCGTGCCAGACAATACTGCAGGTCCTCATCTCTGTCTCCGGAGAGGAGCGACGAGGACGACCCCCGCGGTCCCCTGTCGCAGGCCATCATGGATGCACCCATCCCCCCGGGCATGGAGAAGCCCTCACATCTGAAGGAGTATGACGGAGTTGCGGACCCGATCGACCACATTGACGGGTTCGAGGCCATGCTCCATTATCATAATGTCGGGGGGCCCATCAAGTGCCGTCTTTTCCCCACGACTCTCAGGAAGACGGCCATGGACTGGTACAAAGGGCTCGCCCCGGGCTCAATCACCTCGTGGCGGAACCTGAAGAACCAGTTCCTCAGTTCCTTCACCGCTTCTCGACACCATCCAAAGGCCGAGGCGGCGCTCGAGGCCATCATCCAAAGACAGGATGAGACCTTGAGGGAGTTCATCAACCGCTTCAACCGAGAAGCGATACAGGTCCCCTGCACGGACCACATGAAGAGATATCTGCTGGAGAGGGGGCTCCTCCCCGGCACAGAATTCAGAAAAGCCGTGGGAATCAAGCCGCCCAGGTCTTTCGACGCCCTCCTCGATAAAGCTCGAGCATACATGGATTACGAGGAGAGGGAAGCTGCCAACAGGGCCCGAGACTCCAGGGCTCGGGGACCCAACAACAGCAGCAGTTCACGCCAAGAGGCTCCTCCCTGACGAACCGGGGAGAAAAGGAAAGAAGACCGACCCCGGGAAGTCCGAGAACAAAGGGGCCCCTCAGGCCGTTTCACCGAGTACACTCCGCTCACAGCTTCCCGCGAGCGTATCCTGGCAGAGTGTGCCAGTACAGACTTCAAGGACGGCGGCGTCAAGCATCCCCGACCTGCTCCCGCCAAGCCAGGGGCGGACAAAAATAAATACTGTCAATACCATATGAGTCATGGTCATCTGACAGAGGACTGCGTCCACCTCAAGGACGCCATTGAAACCCTCATCAAGGGAGGGAGGCTCGCGCAGTACAGGCGAAACGACGCTCCTCGTCGTGACGCCCATGAAGCCAAGGAGCCAGAAGAAGACGCCCGACCATCAGACGAGTCGGTGCCTATCCAGACCGCCTTCTCGGTGACCAGGCCCGAGGATTTCGACATTCCCGAGCACCTGCAGGAGCCGCTGACAACGCACAGCAGGTGGGAATACTTTCCCTCCGCCATGGTCATTAATGGGGGCGGGTTCAACGACCTCACCATCAATTCAGCTAAGAGGAAGTTGGACGAGCTGGTCGACGCGGCTCCCCCGCAAACAGTAACGTTCGAAAGGGTGAAGGGCAGGTCAGAGCCCATCACCTTCTACCTAGAAGAACTCCCCGGAGGAGCCCCGAACGCGGTCATCCCCTTACTGATAAGGGCAAGAATGGCCAATTTTGACGTGCATCGCATCCTGGTCGACGAAGGGAGTTCCGTCGACGTGATGTACAGCCAGCTGTTCCGAACCCTGCAGCTGGACGACTCACATCTCTCTCCGTATGTGGGGTCAGATCTACAAGGCTTCAACGGCTCGACTTCCAAACCTTGGGGTTATGTCGAGCTCCTGGTTACGTTCGGTGAAGGAACGGCTACGAGACAAGTTAAAGTCCGTTTCCTCGTCATTGACTGCCTGTCTCTATACAATTGCATCTTGGGGAGACCGACACTGGCAGAGCTAACAGCGGTGCCCTCGACCGTCCATCTGAAGATGAAGTTCTACACTAGGAGGGCACGGGTAGCCACCATCCAAGGAGACCTAGTCGCTGCCCGTAGGTGCTTCAACGCTGCTTCTAAGGGACGGGATACCGTCGACATAGGGACCAGACCCGCTAAAAGGACAAAACAGGAGCCCGACAGGAAAGCATCCCCCGAGGAAGAAGTCCAGAAAGCTCCACCAAAGGTTGACTCCATAGCCCTCGACACCCGCTTCGATCAGGATGAGCCATCCAACAGCGAGCAGATCCCACTCCGACCAATACCGGACGGGGATTTTGAACTCGTTCCCCTCGGCACAGACCCGACCAAGGGAGTGAAGATTGGCAAAGACCTCCCCGACTTGGCCAGGAAACAAATCAAGGCCTGTATGCGCGAGAATGCCGATCTCTTCGCCTGGAGCGCTGCGGAGATGCCTGGACTCGACCCTAAGGTCGCCTGTCACCACCTCGCCATTGATCCAGCCGCTAAGGCCGTAGTACAACATAGGCGTAGGCAGTCTCCAGAAAAAACGGAGGCTGCTGAAAAAGCTGTAAAAGACCTCCTAGAGGCAAATTTTATTTCTGAAGCCCGGTATTCCACCTGGCTGTCAAATGTTGTACTCGTGAAAAAGAATAATGGAAAATGGAGAATGTGCGTTGATTATACTGATCTCAACCGGGCTTGCCCGAAAGATGCTTTTCCCTTGCCTAACATAGATATGCTGGTCGACAACTCGGCCGACTACAAAACTTTGTCGTTCATGGACGCCTATTCGGGCTATAACCAAATCCTGATGGCCCTGGGCGACAAACACTGCACGACATTCATGACCAGCTCAGGCAACTATTACTACAACGTAATGCCCTTCGGACTGAAAAATGCCGGAGCAACTTACCAACGCATGATGAACAGAGTTTTCAACAAACAGATCGGCGACATGCTCGAGGTATACATGGACGACATGATCGTCAAATCCCGAGCAGACACCGACCACGCAGCTCATCTCAAGACAGTCTTTGCCCAAGCAAGGCAATGTAAAATGAGGTTCAACCCCGAGAAATGTACGTTCGGGGTTAAGGCAGGAAAATTCCTTGGATTCTATCTAACAGAACGGGGAATCGAAGCCAACCCCGACAAATGCCGAGCATTCTCCGACCTCCCAACACCGACATCGAAGAAGTCGATACAAATCATGAACGACATGCTCACGTCGCTGTCCCGCTTCACTGTGAAGTCCACTCAGCACGCCCTCCCCTTCTTCAAACTCCTTCGAAAGGAAGCAGCCTTCGAATGGAATGAGGAATGCGAGCAGGCACTACGCCACCTAAAGCAAAGTCTGTCTCAGCCGCCCGTGCTATCTCGACCAGACGACGGGGAACCGCTGTACTTGTACTTGGCCGTTTCAAACGAAGCCATCAATGCAACTCTTGTCCGCGAGACCCCCGATGGGCAGAAACCCGTCTACTTCACGAGCAAAGCCTTACAGGGGCCCGAAAGCAGATACCAGCAGATAGAAAAGGTTGCTCTGGCCCTCGTCAACGCGGCGAGGAGGCTCAGACACTACTTTCTGGCCCACACCATCATCGTGCGAACCGACCAACCGGTGAGACAACTCCTGGGTCGGCCAGATATGGCGGGCAGAATGTTAAAGTGATCCTTGGAACTCTCTGAATTCGACATTCAGTACGAAAGCAGGAAAGCCCTGAAAGCACAGGCCTTGGCCGACTTTGTCGCGGAAATGACCACTCATGACCCTCCCCCGGGGAAAGAACACAAGTGGACCATCTTCGTCGACGGAGCATCCAGCTCGTCCGGAAGCGGCGCAGGAATCCTCCTGGAAAACGAAGAAGGCGTAGTAATCGAGCACTCCTTAGCTCTCTCCTTCCCGACGTCAAACAACCAGGCAGAATACGAAGCCCTGCTCGCAGGGCTGAGACTGGCCGAGGACCTAGGAACCCGCTAGGTACAGATCTAC